ATTTGGTGAAGGAATCAATTAAAAATAATACAGGGTGTTCAAATAAACGAGAATCAAAATGGTATCGCTAATAAAAGGCTACCCTGTATTAAAAAAATACAATATTGTTATATTCAAGTAGCAGGATCAATTAACTTCAGACTCATTTGATCGTAACAGTGCACTGACCATTTCCCATTAACTAGTTATTTGTTTTTGAAATCATATTAAATATATTAATTGTTATATCATATGAGAACAAGATTTAGCGGATTGTATGCTTTTAATAAATTGTAGTATCAGTGACATATCAAATATTAAATTTGTTTATTTAATCAATAGATTTTCAGTACAATTTTTAATTAATAAAATTGTACACTGGTACATTTCATTTTTAGAATAAGAAAGCATTCTCAGAAATTATTTTTATCAGGTACATTATTAAAAATAATAATTCTAGGAATTTATTTTTGAAGAAAACTTAACAAATTATTTGTTATAGGGATAATTAAAAGATGCAAATATGTCCCTTGATTATTTATCTAATTACGTAATTAGTAAACATCTAGCACAATTCACACACTAAAGTAATTTCATTGGAAAAGTTCACTGATTTATTGATAGGGCATTTCAAACTGTATATAAAATGAATTGAAAACAACTCGATTTTATATTCTTAATTATACTACAATTGTATAATTAATATAATTACAAACCATAGCTAAAATCATGTATAAATTGGTAACTCTGGTGGTTCTCATTACAGTTTCGCAAACCTATGGTAAGTCTATACAAAAACAAACTTATGCTAGTACCTATTTTAATTATGAGGCTATAAATGGTAATTTCAATTTTCAAATTATACACATTTTTAGCTGAGGATGGTGTCTTTTCATGGTATGACGCACCTGTCGGTGCCCTATCAGCCAGTTGTGAACCTTTCGAACCAAACGCCATGACTGCCGCCCATAAGACCCTACCGTTTGGGACTACAGTGCAGGCGTCGTGTAATGACCGGTCTATCAGCGTTAGGATCAACGACAGGGAACCGTTCATTGCCGGGAGGATACTCGATGTGACCCCCGCTGCCGGTCGTGAGCTCGGTATCATCGATAGTGGACTCTGTGAGGGACACATCTAAATGAGTCTATAGTTAATTTGTCCTGCTTGCATGCATAAAACATTTTTGTATTTTTCAATACAAGTAATGGTTTTCCCAATAATAAAAAATTAACAATTGCTATATTATTACAAACTTATAAATTTATAAGTTATGAAAATTATATTTTAATAATATATTTATTTTTAAATTTATTTCAAATTTTAAAATCTATAATTTAATATTACATTAAATAATATTATAATTTATAATAAGTTCAAATCAACTACGTAACTTTAAAAATATTTTTGAAATAATATAATATTTAAAATTAATAAATTAAGTAATTTATTTTTTAATTCTCACTTGCATTATAAGTCTGGGTAAATACGTTTAGGTGGTGGTTCATAATCCGATAAAATAGTATCTATGTCATTTATGGTGGGTAAAACATATTGTAATAGGTTAGTTGACGCAAATTCATAGAAAAATAGGTTATTTTGGTTTTGAAGATTAATTAATACAGTTTCAAAGTTAGCATCATTTGCCACAATATACCTATCAATAGACCATTCATTATATTTAGTCAACACTTCCCTACATTCAGGCCTTGAATTAAATTTTTGAGCAAACATTGAATCCAATTGTGTTTGCAAATGAAAAATTGGTTGGTTGATAATGTGACATGTTATTGAATAATCCATAGGGCTGTAGAAAAATGATATATAAAATTATAATTAGTATTATAAAATTTTAAAATAAAATAAATTAAAAATTTAATTATACTTGTTCAAATCAATTAGATATAAATCAATATTAAATAATTCTCTGCCAATTAGTGCCAAACTATAAATATCAGCTTTTATGCTGTATTTATTTCCCTGCGATACTTCTGGTGCCATATAATTCAAGTCTCCCACATCTGCCGTATGTTTTTGTGTAGACCTGCTTTCAGTGCGTTTGTTGTGAACAGTAGCCAAACCAAAGTCACATAACTTAATAAATCTGCCGTTTCTTACATTTCTAGCGATCAATATGTTTCCTGGTTTGAGGTCTCTGTGAATGATCTGAGGATTCAATTCATGCAAATACTGAACACTTTCTAAGATCTGTCGAAATATTTCGCATGAAATGTAATACTCGATACAATCCAAGGGTTGTCCTATATGTCGCCCAAATACTTGTTGTTTTACTTCGAGAATATTGCGAAGACTTTGTGAACATAACTCCATTTGAATGTAAATACAGTTCCTTTCACGCCATGCATTGTAATACTTAACCACATATTCAGACTGAACTCTAAATAAACTTTCTCCCTCTTTAGTTGCGTTAAGAATTTGGTATTCATTTAAATCTAATAAACAAAAAATAATTATAAAATTAAAATAATTAATATACAATTTAATCATACCGTTAAGTTTCTGTTTTTAATAGCATATATTTTGTGGTCATATTTATTTTGAATTTTATGAACAGTTCCGAAACCACCCGATCCTATATTTGTCAACTCAATAAATGTGTTTTCATAATAACTTCCTTTCAACTTTATTGTATTGTATGTTATTTTGTATTTTCTAGCAAAATAATCGCTAAAGTTAACATATTGTATTTCATTCAATTTGTTTGATTCATCAAGTTCAAATATTTTGTCGTCTTTTAAAACAATACAACATTTTATATCATTGTATTACGAATAAATGTCAGGTAATTGTTGAATATTATTAATTTGACTGATTTTCTCAATTAAAGTTAAATTATTATATTTGTGATAATACAATAATCCATTATTTGCCAGAAAATATACCGAGGATAAATACTCATCATCATTAATTACAAATATGTGCTTAATATCGGTTAATGTTGTGTATAATTGTGGGACTTCTATGAATTTAATGTTCATTCGATATACCAATTGATTTTTGTTATTATAACCCCATCGGAACACAAGTCCATCCAATGTTATGGCAAATGAACACCAATTATAGCAATAAATGGTTTTAATTTTATGATTATTTTCAAACCAAACTTGAAATGGTTCATCAATAGTATCACTCGGATGTCCACAACCTATTTGTCCCCATATATTATGACCCCATCCATACACCTGTCCATCGGTGTTAAGGGCCAGGGAGTGATTGTAACCACAACTGATTTGAATTATATTTTTCTTATTAAAATACGAGATTTTATTTGGTATTAAATAAATGTCTTCTGGTGTCGCATATCTGCCTAATTGTCCAAATTCATTGTGACCCCATCCGTAAATATGATTGACATCATTGATAGCTAGCACAAACATAATGCCATTAATGATTTGTCGAATGTTTTGATGACACAATTCATTTATAAGTTGTGGTGTTTGGACGGGTGTGTTGTGACCCAAACCCAAGCATCCGTAAGAATTAACACTTAACCCATACACGATGTCGTGTTTTGTAATAAATATAACGTTTTGATTGTTATAGCAATCATGGAAAACGTGTAATAAAATGATCTCTTCTTTCATATTTTGTTCAATTTTTTTACAAATTGAAAATTTCTCTAAAATTGAAGACATTTTTACTTAATTTTATTTCTAAACTATAAAATAACATTTATATAAAATAAAAATAGTATTACTATTAAAGTTTAGGAATTTTTATTTTTACAATATCCTTTTTAAGTATAATAAATTTGTAATCAGTTATGAGTTATTTCATTTATAATATGTTGTATAAAATAATTCACTATTAAATAATGTTTTTAAAATATTTTTAACAAATATTTATTATTTTATATAATATACCAGGTAGATTAATACTAAAAATCAAATTTCTTTAATTATATATATAATGTTAATTTTAATTTAACATTAATATGAATATAAAGTATTTCTCATACCTATCAAACAGATTAATAATATTAGTAAAATAAAACAATATTTATGAATACACCGTGATGATAATGATAATCACTATAGTAATTTAGTGGAAAAATCATTTTAATTTTTATTGTATACAATAATGTACTGTATATGAAATAATATTAAATTTTTCAAATATCTGTACATGTCTATGTGCTAGGAAACCTTAAAGTTTTCAAATTAGCATTGACTTTTGCCATAAGAAAATATTGCAGCAATAAGAAAAGTGATATTTATTTTCTTATGGCAAAAGTCAATGCTAATTTGAAAACTTTAAGGTTTCCTAGCACATAGACATGTACAGATATTTGAAAAATTTAAAATGTGAATCTTGTTCATTTTCGAAACTTTATCTAACCCACTAAGTAGATTTGGGCTGTGATCTATAGTAAATCTATAGTAAACCTACCTTTCCTCCCGGTGCTATAAATTACCGAAATTTTTTTCAAATTTCTATATGAAAGAGGATTGAATTTCCTACATTTTCCATATCATAACTTTGATATATTCCAATCCCTCTTGCTTCTAAAATTATTTAAGACTCAGTTTTAATGGTATACCCGTCCTCCCTGACCAAAAACTATTCATTATAGAGAAAATCCATTAGGGGCATGTATCCATATTTTTTAACGCTCTTTCGAATGGTGTACTTAAATTCCCTCTAGGA